ACACACAAAAACACAAACAACAAACCCCCAAACACAACAAACCACAAAACACACAAACAACCCAACACAAACAACACAAACCACAAACCCACCCCACCACCAACCCACCCCCAACAACAACAAAACCACCACAAACCACCACACCAACAACCACAACAAACCACAAACACAAAACCACCAAACAACACAAAAACAACACCCAACAACACCAACACAAAAACCAAAACAAAACCCAAAAAACAAACACCACAACAAAACAAACCCACCCCACAACACAACAAACAAACACACAAACAAAAACCACCAACACACCCAAACAAACACCACAAAAACAACAAACACAAAAACCACCAAAACAAAACCTACCCACCAAAACAACAAAACCACAAAACAAAACAAAACACAAACCCACAAATCAAACACAACAACAAACAACCACCACCAACAAAACACCCACACACCACCCACCCCCACAAACCACCCCCACCCCAACCCCACCCCCCCCCACCCCCCCCCCCCCCCCCCCCCCCCCCCCCCCCCCCCCCCCCCCCCCCCCCCCCCCCCCCCCCCCCCCCCCCCCCCCCCCCCCCCCCCCCCCCCCCCCCCCCCCCCCCCCCCCCCCCCCCCCCCCCCCCCCCCCCCCCCCCCCCACACCCCCCCCCCCTCCGTAACATAATAACATTACTCCTCGTGTGAATTCCATCAACCGTCGATGCCAAGTTGAGTTCGGTCAGGCGCTTGAAGAGGTGCCTCAGTGCTGATTCGGCCAAGAACAGGACACAAATAGCAAGAAATCTTATATTTTAAAATTGGAAGCGGTCGGACGAGATCATGCAGAACTGTTTGGGAGATAGAAGAGGAGGAGGAGAGGAAAGAGGGATCCCATGAGAGCTTTCCATGTGTTCTCGGCCAATCCCCCACTTTTGTCAAAAGAAACGGTAGAAAATCGATAAAATCGTGTAAACAGAAAACCGATCACTGGAAGTAACGTCAGATTCCGGAAAGGCCATGGATGTGATTATAAACTCCACACGAGTCCAGCTGCAGTGCACCGGCTTCTGACAACAGAGAATGTGAGTATTTCTTGGTGCGGTACGGGAACACATATGAGATCGATGCAAATCGGCGTGAATACTCAAACAAGTGGATCTGCAAACAGCAGAAAGTACTGTACAATACCTGAGACGGAGAAAATTTTTACAAGGGTAAGAAGATTACCAGCTGCGACTGAGGCAAAACTAACGTATGGATCTCATGCCAATGTCCTTATGATTGTGTAAATACACCACTGAGTTCCTTTAAGGAGTCTGACTTCTCCTCCTTTGAAGAAATACAGCGTAGTCGGGGTGCACTCTCTGGTTCAACCTGCCTCCCATCTGGTGAGCTGGCGAATTCCTCAGCATTAATGCCTCGCTGGCCGCTATTATGACGCTCACTACGGCCATTACGGCTCCCGTTAGCTGTCCAACCAGACGTATCCGCACTGCGGCCGTTACCAGAAGCAGCGATCTCCAAAGCATAGATATGCTCTGGTTCGGTAGATTTGTCATCATAATTGTAGGAACGAAAACCCTTCTCTTCATGGAGCAGGTCATCCAGACAGTTACTGGCCTCACTGTTCGAATGTCCCACCTTGTTTGATGATCCGCGTTCAGCAGTTGCTGGCCGGTGCATCTGGATGAAATGACTCAGAAATCGCCTGCTATCTTTCTGGTCCTCGCAACACGCGGCGCATGTGAAGCGTCCGGCATTTGAATGCATGCAATCTACATGAAGTTGCCAAAGTCCTCTGTCCAAAAAATATATCTGGCACGCTTCACAAGCCCACAGCACTTTCTCAGACTGAAAATGTCTCAACAGGGACAACAAAGCGGTATTCTCATTTCCTTGTGTAAACGACGGCTCTAACTGTTGCACAGCGCTGTTGCCATCCCCATGCTCCGTGGAAATTAACGTTGGATTGGTATTTTTCGATCCAAGTGACCTTAAAACGGAGGAATGCATAAAATTGGGTAATAATCTTTATCTCATCCAGGGACAAAAAAATTATGTCACAATTAGATCAATGAGGGAACAAACGTCCAGCAAATATTATGAATTTGACTTCCTTAAGGTACATGCGATGTGTCGATGGTTATGGTGACGAGTGAGGTTGCGTATTAGTGCGACGCACCTACATTTAAGAAAATGAGCATCAAGGGAGATTGGAACGAAGACTGTCACCATATATGGGGTGCACTGAAGATTTTGCGGTTTAATGGATACGCTGCTCGTTTTGTGGCAACCCGACTGCTTCCCGCTGTTTTGTTGCCGGTCGTAATAACTGTCAAGGAGCAACGTAACTTGAGGCTTCAAATGAAAAGTGTAGCTAAAAGCTTTTTTCTTTGCGACTACAGATTGTTACCTGTCACCCATGGGTGCCGTACCTCCCAGCTACTACAAAACATCACAATATGTCGTAGGTCAAATTCATGGCATCTATGAACTATGTACGCCATCACACGGAAACTGCTTATGAGACCTACAACTAAGAGTCTACGATTGTGTGTATCATCCTGGAGTTCAACGTTTTGGCATGACGCGGAAACGAAGGTGTTGGCGTACCACATAGGAAACGAAGCAGTCCAAAGGTGCCCAAATTACTGATCCTGCAGAGAGCTGTCTGAACCACTAGGGTCCGGGTGGAGAATTTGATCTAGAGTCAAGCTATATAATTACCCACGTGGTAGCCTGACCGTGAAATCCACTAGAAACACCGGTGAAGCCCTGAAGAGTACCCGATATGACAGCAGAATGAAGAAATCAATGCCTGTGTTAGCTTAGCGATAAAATTTCGTTAGCTGCATGAGAACAAACGTATACGATACATAAGAGACGTAAACTATGTTGGTCAACGGGACCTGACGTAAACTATTCTGTGGCTTGATGAGTTTCTAAGTCTTCAAACGAAAGACAGTTTGCTAAATGACTGACCGATTTTTGACACCGTCAGCTCAAATTTTCCATTGGAAAGAGTGAAACTCCAAGAAGTTTTCGTGTTCACCTGCCACTAAATGATCATCCATTCTAATTTACCGAAACAGTACGGATGCTAATATCTCGAAGGAAGCTTGATACCAAGGAAGAATTTATGCTTTTTTACAGTTGTGGAATACGAGCAGGTTTTGTAAGTGTTCGTGTTAGGGCCACGTTTCACTCTTGATTCAAGACATTCCTGACCTGAATAAGCCGTTATGTCAAGAGCGAAACATATATACAGTACAAACCGATACAAAACCGATCTGTACTCTAATCCATCCAAGGTTACAGTATTCATATACTCCATTCATTACATAATAGGTAGGTGGACTCTGTGTGCGTGGGACAATGGCCAAACAGCTCGATAAACATCAGCAGCCTAGGTACTTAAACATCCGATCGGATACGCATTGTTCTAGACGAGATTAATGCTAACTAGTGGTAGCCCGGATGGTGGGTAGATGATGGCTGAAATGTGAGCTACTCAAAAAGCGATTTAAACACTTGTTGACCAAACACATTGTTTTTCCTAAAGACGTTTACCCTCAAACTGCGGTGGATGTGAGATTTGTGTTCCGATATTCCGGGGATTAAATGCATCTGAAACTCCGTTGAACAGACTAGTGGAGAATATCGCTTGTAATTGTAACAACTTAGAACAGTAAGATAATGCTAAACTCACCTCTCTTCACCTCTTTCCGACCGAGTTGGATCCAGATGTATTGGTGGCCTCGATGGAAACCACTGTGGAGCGCGATCGAAGGATTCTCGTCTCATTTCTCCACTCGGGAATTCGTACACGTCTCTCTGTTGACAGGCAATAATGTTAACAAGGATGATATTAATAGTCAATGGACGCTTTATCTACTTCGGGCAGCAGTGGTTGCTTGATAAGCTACAAGTTTGCAGCTGCCACAGGTTTATGTGTGATTGCATGTATGGAATATGTCTCGATGAGGCGGGATACATTCTACTACTCAGTGGTCAAATTAATTTGTACAGCGGGATCACATAAAATATAAAAATATTTAATCTGCTTGAGTCGCTTCCCAAACAGGTTTTCAAAGTGGCCGCCCAGTCAAATGTATCGGATAGAAGTAACACTTGACAATAAGAACAAGCGTAGACATGGCCAAAAGTTCAATTAATATAATACAGCCATCAGTGGAACTGTCTGCTGGTGACTCACTTTCATAGGGGTTGGTCACTCGAAAGGTGTCATCTGCCTTTTCATGACAACTTACCGAACACCGGTGTGATTTGAAAGCAAGTAAAGTAACAACCGCATTAACTCCTCTTTACAGCCGTTGTTATACGCATATAGAATAAGGAATCACAAGACCTAACGCGTTTCACAACTCGACTCTTTCAAGTCAGACATTTCTACTTCTCTCCAGTGAGTCTGTGGTAATTCACTCTGCGTAGATAAGCTGATTAGCTCGAAATCTTCAGACCGGCAACGCAGGAGTCCAGCCTTGTCATGGCTAACATTGAAATTATGGGAACAGAGTGAATTAGCAATAACTGGTGGAGGACACATTGGTGATTCAGTATTGCCCCTCCCAACCCTGACACACTATAACCGGTTTCGTGCTCGTTTGGATTCCTCAGATGGAGATAGCCTGAGCTGGGGTGAACCTCGTAGCCTAGTATTTACAGATTGACGCCTTGAACACTATGCCTCTAAGATGCGCGAGCAGCGCTTTGCACAGTGGTGAGGAAGTGAAAGTTACATTTGATGTACCCGCTAGGTGCTTGGATTGCGACTCGCAATCTCTATTCAGACTTCAGTCCTCTTTGAATGATACATTACCCTTCAGTAAGAAATAGTCCGACTGTTCGCCGGATTTAATTGGCACATAGGGATGGAAAGAAAACAATTAAGCGTTCGAGGTATTTATAAACAAAGCAGTTCTCAGGTCAGATTTAGCTAGATACATCAGCAGATTGCCATCGATCAGCACAGCAGCTGAGATGGAAACAGGTCTCCTGGAGCATTAATAAATGATAGGTGAACCCGAAGTGTTATCCCCAGCAAAGAAGTGAAAGGAATTGGCATTGTATAAGAAATGGAAACAAAATATGAAGTCAAATCTGCAATTTAACTAGGTTGATACGCGAACACTGCTTGTCGTCATACACAAAAATGTTACCCGTGCTGATCTTAGCACAAAACTAAACATAATCAGGGTTAGATCAGTTGCACGGTGTTTCCAAAATGAAAGCATATCTAGCCAGACAGGTGTGAACACAACGGGGGGGCAGACTATTAACGTACTGGAGAACAATTCAAACATTGAAAATCAGGGCCATTGGTGTACTTCTTTCGCCATACCCTTCTGACTCTCCAGTTTGCTGCGCACCCATATACACTTTATCGGTGGTGGTAGATTTGTACAGTATGCGTCCTTCGTCCGCAGCACTCCCTGATTCTCTGACTTCCTTCAACCGCGCCATTTTACACATACTACTCATTAGTAGTACACCAGAAAACAATAAATGGTGCTACCCCGTAATAAAAACCGAATTCATCCTGATTCATTTGTCGAAGATGCCAATAGCCCATTCTACATTGGGAATAAGTGTATAAGTTCGTGAAACGGAATCCTTGGCTGTATTTCACGCATCTCACTGAACTCTGTCCCATAATATGATTTCAGTTGAAAAAAAGAGATTTCCGACTGCTTCATTTTTGATCCTTTCACTAACCCAGTATTAGTGCTGTTTTTGTGTGATGCCCTGCAGGTTTTTTCAGTTATCCAACTGGATATGAACAGTGAGTAATTTATTAAGGGTTTCAACGTATATAATTTGGTTAAATTTACTTATGGTCTGCCATATTGGATCAAGTTTTAGGGTTGTACAACAATCCGTATTAGCCAACGTAGAGGAACTTGCTGGGAGAGGCTTGGTAAAGGAATACTACACTTGCACTATACTTACACTTTGCACACAGCGTCCGTCGACGCCAAGTGATCGCTTTGAACAAAAGTTCTATGCTTTTAGGGTCTTAGGTTATAGTAAATCCGGCGTGCCCAGCGAAGTTCAGCCCTTTGAATTGTCGTGTAGCCCTCCGGAAAGCAAGAAGACTGGGCCGCGAGCACAAAGCCGCTTATTGAGATTACGCTCAAATATTTATAGAGTATATGCACTATTTACAACAGTCCGTCTCAATGACTCATCTTCGTTATTTGCATTGTGTCGCTGGCTCCTTTTCCATTGGTTTATGCTTGCTCGCCACTTTCACTGCCTAAAATCACCTTGACTTTCTTAGTGGATGTACGATTGGCGGGATTAGTCCCGCGCGCTTCTTCCCTCGGTCCAATGCCACAAGCCTTGGCTCAAGGGTGCACGAGTATGCGCACCTTCGCCAACTGACGCCTGATTGGTCACTAGCACGTTCAGTGGATGGTTGCAGGCTGAACGCGATCACGGGCCAACTATTTCCTGATTGGCAGACCAATCTGCTTCCGGTAACATGCTCACTCCCTATCGGTCTGGACCATGACGTTCGATCGGCATTACAGCTTTTCCAATCACCAGCATTTCCAGCTCCCATCACATGAATGGTGTCTCCCTAAATCGCGGATGGTATAGCAGTGGGACCTTGGCTCAACATTAATGGTAAGCGAGGAAGGTGTAAGTTCACAGCTATAGGATGGGGCGAGGCATCTGTTGACACAGAATGACACCTCCCGCCTAGCAGGCCATGAATCAATTGACTTTGGAAAACGTGCAGGATTACGTTGACAATCCTTCATTGACATCGGTGGGCATATGAGTGAAAGTGGTCTTTATGTCATCAGCAAAGAGGTAGAAAATGTTAATCAAATGTTGTAGGAAGAACAAAGGGCGCGGGACACTGCCTCATATCGCGTCGGTCGTAACTGGCTTAAGTGCGCTTATTTTTGTTCGGACCCGGACTATTTGTGTTTTGTTGCTAAAGTTTGAATTGAGACGCACAAGCAAGGGTCTACCGATGCCATATGCAGCTAGGTTGGATAAGAGATGGGCGTGCAGAACGCTACCAAATACTTTTGGCATGGCACGGTAGAGCGCTGTAACTGACGAAACGCAGTCAAGCCAAGTAGTCCGGCAATTTAGAAGATCAATCTGACGTGCTACGCAGGATCTCGCACATAAGAAACAGCGCCGAGAGCTGTCGTGCGACCACCGTGGTTTTGCGCTCTTTGTCATTGTAAAGCAGCTGCACCTCATTTTCTAACGGCACATTCAGCTTAGAAGCATTCGGAACGCACTAATTTGTTCTGTCATTTGAGCTATGTTGCCGGACTTATTTCCTAAGAATCGCGATTCCAGCAATTATAACTGTTTTTAAAACTCCTGCTCAAACCCACGTATACAATCTTATCGTATTTCAGTTTCTTAACCATCTGTGTTACTGTGCTCGCTGACCAAACTCTGCTCAGTAGAATAAGCCCGGATCAGCTCATATACGGTGTTTATCAACGCAACTACAAAACGATTGCTGATCCATTGTTTGCCTATCAATCGCTTCCAGCTTCAAGCACATCCACCTTGTTTTCCAATTTCGCCTGTAAGCCGCTCCCATCTACGTATCAGCTGACCACTCTGTCACATCAGTCGCGCCGCCGCGCGAGTAGACACGACCAATTTGTGACCAACATGCAGTGCTCACCCCTGAATTTGCGGAAAGCCTCACAGTTTTCACGCGACCAGAAAAGTACAGCCAGACCTGATGCCACATAGCCTGCGCTCTTTATAGAACTGCGGTAGTCTTAAATATAATGGCAACGTGTTCAAACTACGTTAAATCGTTTGGTGCTAAACTCCGTTCGAGATGAGACAACTCAACAAAGTAGCCGATGCCTTTTGTTTCTGTCCAACCTGTCCTCATTCCAGTTTATGTCTGCTCATGAAGAAGTGCAATTGGTTGACTGAGACGATCTCGCATTTCGTGAATACTAGGATAACACCCTCCGAGGTGAAATTAACTACGCTCGTACGTCAAGCAGCCAACTCAACCTTCGTTTTTAGGCCGAAGAATAGAGCCCGACGTTCCAACCGCACTACAACGCTTGTAGCTCCAACTCCTCTGGCTCGCCTCATTCCCTAGGCAGAGTAGCAACGGGTGTGCCTGCCTCCACTTCCTGCAGCGGTGCAGCCCAGCATATTTCGGTGACGTTGTTAGCGGCCCCAAGCCAGAGTCATCTCAACATCGAGAAAAGCTGGGTGACGTATACTTCGGTTGCATCCATACAAACGCACGTGCACACCCCTGACTCCGGTAGCAGCACTGAGCTACATTAGGGGACGCAGTTTTCACATCCCAACAAACCATTTAAACCCGTAATCCAGTAATACTCTCAAATCTGCATGGAGTTCTGTTGTGTGCACAAATGTTGCGGAATAGCAGGTTAGTAGATTAAAGGGGAAGCTGATGGACGACCGTAACCAGAAGAAGTTCATTTTTGATAAGATTGGTATTCCGGTTGAGCCTACGATATTGAACTAGGTCACACATCGAGCAAATTTAGCACAATACTGTTGCATCGCCACTGACTGGCCATCACCCCCCCACCCACACATACACACGACCGCAAGGAGGACACGAAGATGAGCCAAGACCGAGTTTCAACACAAGCAATCTACTCATTAAAAATAGGGTGCAGCAGCAGTTGAAGCCAGACTAATAAAACACCTTGGAAGAAATCAACAACATACAAGACACTGAATAATGCGGGCGAATGAGAAATGGTAAAAGAAAGAAGCAATCAGGCGGGTTCGATGAGAGGGCATTAGCGGAAATAGACACTGAGGCGACG